CCCCCATCCCCAGCCCATAAATACCCCTGTGTGAACAATAAAAGTTTGCAGCTTGATCAGAACTTTTGTCTTGCTGTCACCCTTCGTGTCTCTTGTCCCTTCATTCCTCCCCATCTAGGTTCGCTGCCCACGTTGATGTGTCCTGCCGGTCGGGACATTCACCTGGATCTCCTTTTGTTTCTCTGGCTAGTTCAGAATAAAACAGCTACAAAGAATCACAAAGTTAAGGTCAATGTTCTGTCACAATTAACAAAGCTGTTGCACAGGGCTTAAATAATTTGCTCAAATTACGAGAGGTAGAACAAGGATCTGCTATGCCCTCGTTTCCCTCTATTGTACCACTCATGTACGTCAGTCTTTTCCTCTTTGGACAAGTATTAATAACTTGATTTCATTTAGAACAAAAATAAGACTGCTTGTATCTTTATAATCTCTTAAATTATCAAAATGTTAAGTGTGCTTACTATCTCCTAAAATTATTTTGTCATGAGTAAGTAGTTAATGCTTTAGAACAGTTGTGATTGCGCCATAGCAATTCAGTCTGGAAATTGTTATAGTGTCCAGAATTACATCAACAGTTACAGCTCCAGGTTCTGCCAGACTGGGAAACCAGGAGAAGCTTGCAATGGAGATATATATGGAGGTTTATTTAACTCTGGTTCATAACTTGGCAATCACATATTTAGTCTATAGACCAAGAAAATGGCATGGCTTTATTCACTGAATAGCAGGCAAAACCTTAGGCATATTTACTGAGTACTTAAGACAGGACAAATTCCACAGCTCTGTGCCCATGAGTAGTGTAATATGTCACCATGCTTTATTTATCACCTTAGGTCTGAGTAGAACTGGAAGACTTCATTTTCAGGAATAATTAGTGGAGGAAAAAGAAATTCGATCTTCATTTTATTGTTCCAGTTTCTCTCCTGAACTAGGACTTTTTTTTTTAAGTCTCTGAACTATTCATATATTTGTGTCTGAAAGTTTAAAGGCAATTTGTTGCTCTAATAGGCACTGTTATAGAAATGTAATGTAATACACACAATTTTTATTTTTCTAGTACCCATATTTTTAAATAAGTAAAAAAAAAATAAAATTTTAATGTTCTGTTTGACCCAGCATGTCGTTTCAGCATATACAGAATTTATTAAATGGATCTTTCTTGCACTCATTGCATTGCTTTGTATTTTTATTTCAAGATTTCAAAATATGGTGTGAATTTTACACTTTTACAGTACATCAATTATAAAATGTTCATGGAATTCTTGGTCTGTATTTGGTTGTTTTAAGTTGAATTATTCAGATTTATGAATCTAAGTTCTCAAGTATAAATATTATCCAAAACCAAACCAGCACCCATTTAAATGAAATATAAACATTGATTTTTTTTTTTTTTGTCAAGTACCACTCTTCATGGCTAGTGCTATAGATAGACTTAACTTTCAAACCCATGGGGCCCTCCTCACTGGATAAACGGATCTTCTGAAATCAGGACACTGGAGAGCTTGGACCGTGAGAGCTGTGGGGTAGGGGATTCTGACTGCGCTGATGGAAAAACTACTTTCTTAGGCTCACAACCTGAAAAGTATAAAATCACCCATTCCAACTGGGATAGTGATTGACAGGTGTCTCCAGGTTATCCATTATAGGACTAGGCCCAAGACTGTTCATGTTGGCTTTTCTATATACTGAGCATGGTTAATAAATGATATGGTTATAAATGATGATAAATCACAAGAATATTACATATAATAACCCATGTGAAGCATTTGACACACATTTAAACATATCCTGAGCATTCTCAATTTCACTTATTTTCATTTGCCTCAACACTTAAATGTTATCAGGTTTTCCTCAGTTAAGGTTTTCTTCAACAGTTTAAGAATAACATTGTCTAAGTCAAATCACAAAGCTAAGCCGTTTATCCCCTAATTGATGCCTGCAGTTTTGTATTCCCAAATGAAGTTCAAACTGTATGAAGAATGTAAATGGGACATTTTTCATATACCAACATCAACACTTGAAAACCAAACAGATAAATGTGCTTGCCACATGCAGACAAAGGCCAAAAGCCACAATCAAAACTAAGAATTAAGCAGCTTAAGAAATGCAAGGAATCATTCAACAATCCTCTGGACTTGTTTGTTGGGTTGTGCACTGTTTTGATTCTCAAAGCCAGTGCCTCACGTACTGGGCTAGTGTTCTGCAAGTGAGCCAAATACAGCCTCTCAAACAGTTTAGTGGCCTAAAATCCTAGGACGCACGAGTCAGTGTTGAGGATGCCCAGCGGCTTCGGGAACCCGCTGCAGTAATTATTCCGCCCACCCGACGCCAGGTACCGGGGATGCCCACACGCAGCTACTTCTTCCCAAGACCCCCAAACGCGAGCGTCAGCCTGCAGCTCTTTCATTGAAGGCGTGCGGCCCTGAAAAGGGCCTTTAGTTGGGGAAAGCAGGCGGTGGCGACACCAGGACGCTCAGCCGCCGAAGCCGTAGAGGGTGCGGCCCTGGCGCTTGAGCGCGTAGACCACGTCCATGGCCGTGACCGTCTTGCGCTTGGCGTGCTCCGTGTAGGTGACGGCGTCGCGGATCACGTTCTCCAGGAACACCTTGAGCACGCCGCGGGTCTCCTCGTAGATGAGCCCGGAGATGCGCTTGACGCCGCCGCGGCGGGCCAGGCGGCGGATGGCGGGCTTGGTGATGCCCTGGATGTTGTCCCGCAGCACCTTGCGGTGGCGCTTGGCGCCGCCCTTGCCCAGGCCTTTGCCTCCCTTGCCGCGACCTGACATCTTGAGCAGAAAGAAGAAGGTGGAAGATTGTCGGGTTTGGTCGGAGGCACTTTTTTATAGGTCAGCGCTGCGGACCGGAGTGGAGACTGAAAGCGCGGTGGCGGGAAGGCCCTCCGGGTAGGGGGAGGGGCCTTGAGGCGCCCGAGCCCACAGTGCTGCAATTTACTTTCGGTTCGTTTTAATCTTAAAGATTTAATCTATTAACTTTTTTCAGTTAATGTAATTCTTGTCCTATCCGCAAACAACAAAACTCTAAAGTTGTCGAATATACGTGAAAAGCGAAAATACTCTGTTCTTTCCTCTGCCTGCTGCACAGGTCTTGAGCAGCGTGTGCAATGACTGGGTATTTGTAGTTTTTCTCCTTTCTGTGCCCTGTGAGTGGACGCCATAGGCCAACTTTTAGAAACAGAATAGGTGGACTAATAAAAGTCAGACTTCTAAGCTCCCTTAGGCTGTACTGCCAAAGTATCTTCCCGCAAAGGTAGACTGTTTTTGAAGGATTCCAAAACGGTGATTACTAATCCATTATAATTGGATTTTATTTCTTGTAAAGAGAAGTTTTTAGACAGTTGACCAACTGGCCAAGCAGTGCAATATTGACTATTTTCCTTTCAGATTTGAAGAATCATTTTACAGTGTATTGAATATTTCAATTAAAATTATGAAATTTCTGCTTAATTGATTAATCTATGTGTAGTGCTGGAGTAATTATGATTATTTTACCATTGAAGACTATCCTAGTGTTTGACAGTGTAATTCCCACTTACACAATTATTCAAAATGATTTTATACTATTGTCACCATTTATACTTTTTGAAATTACAAATAGTTCACTTACAATAATGAAATCTTTTAGGATTTTGTTTGAAATTGTTAAATCTTTATATTTATTTGGGTAAATTTGGGTAAATTTGCTGCCTTTGAAATATTGTGAGCTCCCAACCTGAAAAATACTGAATCTATCAATGTGTTTCACAGTAGGGTTTTTTTTTAATAATATGTATTAAATTTAAAAATATCTTGTATAATTACAAGAGCTATTGTCTTCATTAATGAAAAAGTAAAAAATTCAAATGCAAGGAGGAGTGAGTATGCTTTTATCTTTCTAAGACAGTTTTTATTCAAGTACTTATTATTTAACATGTCATTTTACTTTGCTGATGTCTGGCTGTCACAGGGCTGGAACGTTCTGGGAAACAGATAATTTTTGGGATCAAATCAGATTTCAGTTATCTTGCTCTGTAACAGTTTCTTAGAAGGGCTTGGAAAGGTGGAAAGGTGATACTTTCAAGGGAGATAGTGGATTCTCTGAGAGGACCTCTCCTCCGCTCCTGCCCTCCAGTTTTTTTGGGGGGTGGGGTGGGTCCCAGGGAAGTTTCCAGAGAGTCCTTCCCAGATCACTTTTTGTTTTTTGACTTCAGGATGACATCAGACTTTTAAGTCCCCACTGCATTGATAACTCTTGGTCACTTTGGCCCTTGCTGACCAGTTCTTACTGATTTTATGGCTAGTTGGAATTATCCTTATTTTCCTGAGTTCTGGGATCTGGATTTTGAAAGGGTCACAAAACCTCCCTCTTTAGAGTGACTCCATGTTATTTCAGGCCTGCATTTTCCCTGCAGATAATAGGCAGTTTGCTGAGGAATGTAACATACCTGTCCACTTAAGACAGGCAGGACTGCAGGTAAATTGCTTCTTAAAAAGAAAGCACTTGGGGGTCAGTACAAAAGGCCCAGTTCAAATTATTCCCTTAATCTCATGTTTCCAGCACTCCTAGATTGGGTCTCTCTGTCCCTTACCATTGAGACATTTTAATCACTTCTTCCACCAGTAACTTGTGATTCCTTGTTATCCCGTGACTTTTCTACCTTTTAATGAGAGATCCCTTAGAGCAAAGTTGCATTACAGTATTTTCTTTCTTTTTTTTTCTTCTCCTTTTTTGGTGCCAGGGATGGGAACTCAGTGGCACTTAGTTATTGAGCCATATCTCCAGCCCCCTCTGTTGTTTTTTTAATATTTAT